TTTATAATTTGGTTTTCTTCTCTTAATCGGTTCATGAGTTATCGAGTATACAGACACACGCACACACGCACACACACGCACACACACACGCACACACACACACACACACACACACACACACACAGACATCATCGCGAAAATAGTCAAATCGGATTCAGGGCCCCAAAACGTAAAAATCCGTCGAAAACTGGAGGTCGAAAAAAATTATGATTACTATACTTTCCTTATCTGTATACAGATAGGAAAATAAAAAATCATGTTAATAAATAATATATTTCATTTTTTAACATTTTGCCGTGAAAGAAATTTGAGAAAAAGTGAAAATTTGGAATTTTAAACATAAGTCAAAAACGAATGAAGAGAAAAACACCAAATTATAAACTTAAGCTTTAATCTACCCTGCAGTAAGTTGTTTAGATTTTGGACATAGTCGGAAAATCTAGGGGGTACTTTATGCAGGGTCATTTTTCTACTTTATTAAATATACGCTTGCAGAAGAAACTTCCTTAAAGAAAAGTTGTTTGCAAAATTATTCTCTATATTTTTTGTTTTACACATAATTTTCCTAAAATGGCCCGTATTTGAGAAATTTGAAGATAAGTGAAAATTTCGAATTTTGAACATAACTCAAAAAGGGATAAAGAGAAAAACACCAAATTTTCAATTTAAGCTTAAACACATTCTGACTAAATTTTAGGCACAGTCGAAGCATCTGGGGGGGGGGGGGGGGACTTTATGTATGGGGTCGATTTTTTTACTTTAACGAATTTCAGTTATTTATGATTAAAGAAGAAATATTTTTGTCAAAGTTTTTTGCAATAGCATTTTTTATAACTTTTGTGCTCGCTTTAGTGCCATACATAATTTTTCTTAAATGGTCTGTATTGTAGAAATTTAACAAAAAGTACAATATTTGAATTTTTTAAAATGAACCGTATTCCAGATATTTTTGGAAAACTGCAAATTTCGAATTTCAGTTTAAAAAAGGAAAAGAAAAAAACACCAAATATAAAAAAGTGTGTGGAAAATGTATGTATTTAGTTCATCCTCTAAACATTAGATTATACAAAATAACTGGAAAAAGCCTGTAATAACTAGATAGGAAAGTCATGTGTTGGACACATCAGATTTTTATAGAGAATTACCACAGAATACCTGAGAATTCCTGGGAATACCTGGGAATACCTAAGAATTCCTAAGAATACCTGAGAATTCCCAAGAATACCTGGGAATTCCTGAGAATACCTGGGAATTCCTAAGAATTCCCGGGAATTCCCAAAGAATTCCCGGTAATTCCCAAACAGATGTACACAAGAATTCCCAATGTATTTACCCCTCGTAAAAATGTAAATCACCATCAACGATTTTTTCTAATGATTGATTTGTGTGTAGAGATAATATTGCTTTTCCAGCCATTGTTGATCAAAACAGTACGAAACTTTTGAATTGTTGCTATTTTAACATGGCGGCTGCGCTTGCGCTCATCACATGATGAAAAGGCCTATTACTTGTAGATGCCGAAACTTGATTTTAAATTAACGAACTTTTCTCTCACGCTCATGGAGAAACGATTATTACTCACGTTCAGGCCTCGTAACGAAATGGAGACAGGCGTAACAAAAAAGCTACAAAAAAGTTACAAAAAATGAGCCTGGTCCGAGCTGGTGCCGTTACAAATATCCGCTAAGTTAGCGGATCCTTGCTTTTCTCAGGTTCAGTAAAGCTACGAAAGGGAGACTAGCGTAACAAAAAAGCTACAAAAAAGTTACGAAAAACCAGCTGGGTCTGAATCTGTGCCGCTACTATGGAATTTATGGAAATTCAAGCTAGCGGATCCGCTGTTTTTTCGGACCTGGGCAAAGCTACAAATTCGCAAATATCGTAACAAAAAGCTACAAAAAAATCACCAGGTCTTGTATGATGCCGCCACAGAGTGCCCGTTAGCTTGATATAGCCATACTGGATGTATATACGAGTATTAAACCAGGGCTGAAGCCTTTGAAAATGGTAAAAAGTGAAAAAAAAAAAAAATAATAGTAGGATGAATCCCATTGGAAAATTAAGAGAATATAACAAAAATGAGAGGGAAAAATAATTTACGGGCGATCTGGGGTCGGGAAATAAAAAGGGGTTTTTTAAGGGTAACAAACGGTTTATCTCGATTTCCAGCAAAACTACAAGTCCTATGGAAAAAAGTTAAAAGGTAAAGTTTTAGGTCATAAAAAGATCTACCACTTTTGTATTTACACTTTTTTCACATAACCTCAAAATTTATGTAAAAAATTCAAATAGTTTTTGGTTTTTTATTTTTATCTTTTACATAAAAAAAATTAAGATATTTGCTGAAAACTTACCTTCTTATGTCCCAAACACACTGTAATTTTTTTGAATTTAAAATATTAAATTTTTCACCTTATTTTGACTTAATATTAATTTTCAATCGAAAATGTTTCCTTAAAAATATCTGCTTTTATAAAAAAGTCGGTGGGCTTTTTGTTTACTGAAATCCCTATTTTCTGATGGTGTAAAAGAATATATACATTACTATGGTAAATGTTCTCAGAAAGTGCCAGGAAACGAAAAAAACTCGAATCAAAAAATGTTTTTAATCATTATGTACAATTTTGAGCTATTTATTAAAATTTACACTTAATTACTCGTAAAACGTAAGATTCCATGTTACATTGATAAACAAAATAATTACAAATCCATAAAACATAAATATTGCAAAACACATGCGAAAATAGTTCTAAACATTAAATATAGGATTTAATGGGGATTTCATCTAAAAAATGTGACTGCTGGAAGTCTTTTCAGTAAAAAGTTGATTTATTAAATTCTAATTACATTTATGTCATAGAAAATCTCATAATATATAAATATATAAGTAAATCGTACTATTTGGTTACATATAAAATTAAATAGTCGACGTCTTTAAGGAACTGAATCACAGCACTAAACTGGTTAAGTAGACCGAGAATGTTTTTAAGAGTTTTGTGTTGCGTGTATTCCAATGTGTTTGCCATGTGTGAATCATCGTTTGTCGAGCTGCTGATTTTAAATCTTGATGAATTTGCTCTACTGGCAAGTCGTAGGAGCAAGTTTGTTTCGATGCTTGGTCTGTACGTTCGTTGCCAGTAATTCCTACATGAGAAGGGATCCAGTTGATATTCACAACGATACCTCTAGTACGTTGGTGGTGGCAAGTGTCGAGGATATCTTGAACTAAAGGATGTTGTAAGTAGTTGTTTTGGATGGAGAAAATTTGATGAAAGGGAGTCTGTACATATGGCAAATTTACTGTTATCCTGAATTTGAGTCCTCAAGGCTTGTAGTACTCCATACAGTTCAGCTGTGTGTATACTACATAAGTCAGGAAGTTTGTAGGTTGCTATTGTTTTGCCTACTGTAGTAATAGCACATTCAGTACCACTAACTTCTTTGAAGGCGTCAGTGTATAGGATTTTGGCGAACGACTGAGCTTTTTACTGAACTGAATTACTTTGGATTTGGTTGTTTAAAAGTGAAAACCGGATTTGAGAGACCAATTGTGGATGCTATCTAGACCCTTCTGAAGTAGATAATAAGATCGTCGGCATATAGTACATATTTAACAGGTGGAATTATTGAGGAACATATATTATTAATACTCATCAGGTATAAAGTGGTGCTAAGAACCGAGCCTTATGGTACTCCATTCTCTGACGTTTCCCATTTGTAACGACTTTGAAAGATCTGCTGGTCAAGAAGTTTTGTAGAAAGGAGAGAATGTTTCCAGATAAATTAAAGACTGTACGTTTCTTGAAGATGGAAGTTTTACCAATTGTGTCGAAAGCGCTGTCAATATCTAGACTCACGGCGATTATGTCTTTTTTTGCTTTCAATAGCTTCTGAGATATATGTGTGAATAGTAACCAGGTTATCCAATGTGCATCTGTTTGATCTAAAACCTGCCTACACTATAGTTTAAAGGTTGTGCAATACCAATGTAGGCGTCTGTTGACCATTTTCTCAATAATTTTACACAGTGTGCAGGTAAGAGAAATTGGCCTAAAGGAATTTGGAAGATTAGTATTCGAGTCGTTCTTTTTAATTGGTATAATGATTAATTATCTCCATAGAGCCATAGAGCTGCACCATATTTTGTTGTAAAGTTCGAACAGTTTAGTTTTTGTTGCTGGATGTAAGTGTTTTAGAAAGATCATATGTATATCGTCCGGTCCTGTAGCTGTGTTTGAGTTTTTTTATTTAACATGGAATCTTATGTTTTTCGAGTAATTAAAGTGTAAATTTTAATAAATAGCTCAAAATTGTACATAATGATTAAAAAAAAATTTTTGGATTCGAGTTTTTTTCGTTTCTTTGCATTTTCTGAGAACATTTACCATAGTAATGTATATATTTTTTTACACCATCAGAAAGTAGTGATTTAACGAACAAAAAACCCACCGATTTTTTTAAAAAAGCAGATATTTTGACGAGAGATTTTCGATTGAAAATTAGGGTACTTTTTCGATATTAAGTCAAAATAAGGTGAAAAAATAAATATTTTAAATTAAAAAAATTGCAGCGTTTTTGGGTCGTAAAAAGGTAAGTTTTCACCAAATTTCGTAAAAAAAATATTTTTGTAAAAGATAAACCAATTTGAATTTTTCACATGAATTTTGAGGTTATGTGAAAAAAATGTAAAAACAAAAGTGGTAGATCTTTTTATGACCAAAAACTTTACTATTTAACTTTTTTCCATAGTAGTTTTGCCGGAAATCGAGATAAACAGTTTTTTACACTTAAAAATTTTCACTTCCCGACCTCAGATCGTCCGTAAATTATTTTTCCTTTTAATACTGTTATATTCTCTTCCTTTTCCAATGAGTTTTTTTTGTTTCAAAAATTATCGACTTTAGTCTATATATATAAATATATAATATGCTAAATACCAAGTAAAAAAAAAGTTTAATATAAGTTTAAGTAGTTGATTTTTATTTACACGTTTTACTCACCAAGATACGTATTAACAAAACCCAGCCCCTCCACACCACCCAACGTCGTCATAGGCCCCCTTTCGTGCACCACATACTGCATAGTCATCGGAAACGCCTGCAGCCGGTCCTGTACAATGGACACGGGTTTGTTTATTCTGAAAGTGAGTCCTCCCATGCCGACGTGGTCTTGGAGGTTCTCTCCTACGGGCAGGTCCCTCAACACTGGCAAACCGTGTTTTTGTAGTTCATATTTGGGGCCTATGCCGGATAGCATTAGGATTTGGGGGGTGTTTATGGCACCTGCTGACAGGATAATTTCTTTTCTGGCTGTTACTATTTGTTTTCTTCCTGAAATGTTAAGGATATTTATGATTTATTTATTTTGTAGAAATTAATCACAAAAAACACTTATTTATATACAGAGTGGAAAGTTTAACTGGAAAATACTTGAATAAAGGTTTGTCGAAAAATTCCTGAAAAATGTCAATTTTAATTTTCTTTTTTAAATCATCTTGAAAGTTTACAGCAACCTCCAAATTTTTTATTAATGGATGAATAGCTTGATAATTTTTTGTTTATTTTAAAACTTCCAATAAATGCAAATATAATTATTTTTTGTTACTTTTTGTAAGCAATGTGTCGGAAAAAATAAAATAAGGAAAAGTTTACTGAAATTACTTTAAAAAAATGTTCCCTCCACATTGTTGCTGACAGTAATATCAGCAGGCGTTGCCGGAGTTTGGAGGTCCACCTTCACTTTTTTAAGCCAGGCCCCTTTTACAAACTGCGCATGCGCGATATGTCACGTGTCGGTTGTCAACTGTCATGTCATCTGTCACCTATTAATCTAACCTATGGTATCTGTCAACAGTGTTTCAAACCTAACCTGAGAATTTATAGCTATGAAGTTGGCTAACCTAACCTTGCATGTCAAAAATCGGTCTAACGCCATTTTCTATCCGCGCCATTTTTTATCCTGAGTTTTCTACCGTTGGCTAACCTAGCAACAGCTTTGCCAACCTAACCTGCCATCTGCTAACTCAGGAGGCCCAGTGGGAGGAGAGGGAAGACGCCATCTAACCTGTCAATGGTGCGATTCAAGATGGCGGCTATCGTATTCGAAAGTCTGCGCAGTAGCCTGCGCCTGATTTGAACGGAGAAAACGGGGGAGTGTGAGGAGGAATTACATGCGTGGAAAAAGCTGCGCAGTGGCCGTAAGCCATCCAACCTAACGCCTGGCAACATGAAGAACTGGAGGTTGGCCTTATTCGTTGTAAGATAGCTAACCAGCAGAGTCAGTGGGGGGGGGGACTCGGCTAATTCATTTGCGTCTCGGTTAAGCAATCCAGGATGGCGGTTCGCTACTTCTAAAAGTCACCATGAGATAGCGCCACGTGTTACCAGTAATAAGCCAAAAGTTTCAACTTTCATTGAATAGAATTAAACAGAAAAAAAATGGGAGAGTGAGCGAAATGTCTCAACTTTCATTGATTAGAATGAAACAGAAAAAAATGGGAGAGGGGGAAATGTCTTAACTTTCATATATAATAAATCTTTAAATTTCTGAAATAAAAATGGTATGCTTCTGACAAAGAAATTTTTGAATCGCCCTGCGTCGCTTAATTATAACTTTCATATCCATCCCAATTTCAAGCATCAATCGGCCTAAAAATACTTTTTGCAGAACCTAATTTGCTGAAGCCGTTTACGAGAAAAAATCATTTCGAATGATAAAAGAATCACCCTGTACATGCGTTATTGGCTAACATATTGGGATCGTTGTATAGGAAAATGTATAAGGAACTTTATGCTAAGATAATATACAGGATGGTGTATTTAAAAAATTTGAGAAAATTGAACTTAAAAATAGCCATATTTAAAACATGTTTCAAAACACTATGTATAAAATAAACCAGTTCTATCCACTATTCGTTAGCTTAGTATCTTATAAGTTTGTATATTAAACAATTTTAAAATCAATGTTGACATAGCTAAATTATGATAATTTAATTTGGAGACTGTATCATTCTCTAATTTAAAAAAAAAATAATTTTTTGGTATCAGTAATAATTTTTAAAAACATTCTAGAGTTGAATACAGTATAACCAAACCATTCTAAAACTAGAATAAAACACAGGGCGTTCTATTTAAAAAACATAAATTTTTATTGGCCAGGCAAAAACGCTACACTCTCAAATATTTAATTTTCAAATCCATATAACTTTTATTTGAAACTTTTTTGCATGTCTATAACACAAATTGAAATATTGAACAATTATTCACTAATGGGACGTCCTGTATACCTACAATCTTTCCTTATTTTTAGGTTTCAAGTTTCATATTTCAATTTTACTATTTTATGATTTTATAGATTTCTTCCTGTATTCTTCCAATTATTTAGATAAGTTCCAACTTCCTTCTGTTTTATTTGATATTTCTTCGTTATTTTCTCGAACTAAAGTAATGTTATGGAATATTCATCTCAATTATCATGTTTATCCTTTTTTTGTTCCGCCTTGCATTATATTCTTACACGATGCAATACGCGAAAGTGAGAACAGAAATTAGGCAACTTGAAAGACTTCTGTGTGTAAGGTTGGTTGCCTAGACAACGTGGATTGTTCAAGATGCAAAAGTAAATAATTCAGTGATTGAAATTATTGGTAGTACAAATTTCAAATTAAAAATCGATTTCTAATGACTCATAAACTGTTAAATAATTATCTTAAAAGACGAGCAACTGTGCAAAAAATATATATTACGATTACGAAAACAGTGAACATAAAATTTAAAGAAATATATTTTTTTCTTATACATTTTACAAGTGGCGTGTTACGAAACCCTTGGATGCTCCGCTCTAAAACCAAGTAAATACTCCTCTTAAGAATCCATCACTATTTTTTATGACACTATATTTAATATGGCCTCAAACGGCTGAAGTGACTTCATAAATTTAAAACTAATGTAATAGCTATTTTCGGACCTATTTAAAAAAAAAAAAAAATATTACTTACCGTTTCTTACGAATTCTACTCCGAACGCTCGCATATTTGCAGGATTAATAAGGACTTTGGTAACGTGCGAATTTAACGCCACATGTATGTTTTTTCTTAATTTTACAGGTCTCAGAAATGCTTTTGCTGTTGAACATCTGGCGCCTAAAAAATACAAGAAATTCATATAACACAACCAAACATTACAACAGTATTTTATTATTTTTTATAAATTTTCTTTTAAGACACAATTGGATTAAATTAAGAATAGAACTATGGCGTGTTCAGATTCAGTGACGCCCCGGACTACATAAATCTGGTTGCCTCACCTTCAGCATTTATTCATAATAATACCTAATAATTTATATCTTTCATCAGGTTGCTTCCTGTTAAACAATAGAACAACCGAGAGAAAGTGGGCGTGGTTCTACTGAAATTTCAAAAAATGCATTCTTGACGACGATTCTATTGAAAAAGCGATAAAAAATCCGTTGCCAGTATAACTAAATGCATCTCTTAATATTTTATAAGAGAACAAGTTGAATCAATTCATAAAAACATAAATTCAAGTTTTTAGCTTAAAAATTGAATTACAGTAATTTTAATCAAATATTATTGTGAATAAATTATGGAGCATATAGGTACAAGTGACGGAGATAAATTTAAATATAGTCAGGGAAAGAAATCCTTTCGATACGTCTGCTCAACTCTTCCATATAAATATCGATAGCTAATAGAATTCTTGTAAATTATTTGAATCTTTACTTTTATATAAAGGAAAAAAATAGACAAATGAGTATGTAACACAAAAAATACGAATTAAATAGATTTTACAACAGGATTTATTTATCAACTCGCAGATTGGTATACATTCTGAGCTTTCGAGGACTAATAGTCCAGCGTCTTCTGTTTTAAAACACTATTTAAAACATAGTATATTCAGAAACGGTCCTGTACTCGGTGCGCAGGTGTTTTATTATGGACGTCTGTAAACAAAGGTCTATGTGACCATAATCGCGCTTACTGAGTTGCATCAGCACGAAACCACTCAAGGCCAACCAGTTTCTGGCACATAGACATGAATATCTTTTCATTGAATGGTAAAGAACAGATCGTTTTGAACTTCGAGAGGTCAGACGGGTCTCAACACAAAACTGGATGGCAGTTATTCTTTTTTAGCAAAGATATTAAAATGATAATAAATAATAAATAATGTTAATCCTAAGGCAGTGTTAAGTCTCTAGGTATAGTGTAAATATGTAAAATTTAAAAGTTGTGCAACATTTTGCACAATAAATTGTTTTTTACAAAGTTGCTGGAATTTCATTATCGGCATTAGGTTTCAGATCTTCGGATTTACCCGACTGGAGCCTACCGGCTTCAAACAAGTCTCGCCCAATTCAACCATGGCCTTCATCAAAAGGTGTAGCTTATACGGTGAACTATAAGTTAGTCGCAGTGCAAGGCGATGAGATCATCCCACTAATTTTCAACCTAGCCTAACCTATATTGTTTGATCTTAATCAAAATGTGTACCAGAACTTTGTCTACAGAATCAAAATGTGCACCACATCTTCGTCTACAGCATTTCAAACCGGAAGTTATTAGTTCCATAAATGAGTTTAACTAGATCATGGTAAGAACCCTGGACATCAAACTTCTCTGGAACTTACATGAGGAAAGTAGAAAATAAGGTCAAAAATTCGGAAAAATGATGAGGATGTCACTCGAACATTGCGGTGGATATATACAGTAATAGTGAGATTAATCATCAGTTACAGTTAAAGGACTGTAACCTGGAGTAACAGAATAGAACAGCCTACGTTTGCATCACTGGTGCAGTGAGTACCTGTCCTACGGCCGCAATGAAGATGATCTTAAACCTTACCCCCTCTACATTTTATGGTAGGGAATGTGGCAGAAAGGACAAGATATAGAATGATTAGGAACGGAGTAACCAGCCCGAAGTATATTAGATCGAGAACCAAAGAAACTTGGGATATGTGCCAGGACGATATGAGAGAGTAGTACAGTTTTATTTAAAACCACAGAGCTAGGTAGCAAGAAATAATAGAGCCAATAATCAGTCGTATTTGTAACCAAACGGCTTGCAGTTCAGTGGTAGACGGATGGTTTAAAACCATAGATGAACTCTAGGTACTCTAAAAGTTTGGACAAATACCCAAGCATCTTGCAAGCGGAAATTCACGCCATTGAGAAGTGTATTCAATTAAATACCGAGAGAAGCTATCGCAGACAAGATATTATCATCATGTCTGACATCAAAGCAACCATCAAAGTGCTGATCTCTTACATAATTAGCTCAAAAATTATCTGGAAATACCTAGAGACAACTGAATAAGCTAGGCGAGTAAAATACAGTTACTCTCACTTGTGTCCAGGGACACAATGGTGTAAAGGGTAACAAGATAGTAGATAATCTGGCAAAGAAAGAGACCTAATCCATTTTGCGGCATTAGTAGTAACACAATATTAGAAGAGATTAAAAACTAATTAGACAGCAGAGGAACCCACAATTGCACCGTTCTCTTAGGGATAAGAGAGGCTAAGATACTTCTGACTATAACTAACCCACAGGGTGGACTCCTTTCTGCTCTACTATGGAACCTAGTGGCAGATGAACTGCTAAAAACACTGAACAATCAAGGGCTATACGCCCAAGGATGTGCCGATGACATAGTCATCCTTATCCGAGGGAATCACCAAACCACAGTCTTTGGACTTATGCAAAGAGCTCTTAGGCTGACAGAAATGTGATGCGTTAGGAAAAACCTCTTGATAAACCCTGACAAGGCACAACTCATAACCTTTACTCGGAAAACAAGGTTTAAAAAACTCCTACTTTGTTTGGAGGAAGGCTAAACAAAACGAACCAAATAAAATGTCTGTGTCCAATCCTAGATAGTAAACTTACTTGGAACCAACAAATGTAAAATGTCTCTCATTGTAAGGCGACGGGCATTTGGAAAAACATGAGTATTAAAACCAAAAATGGTCCACTGGCTATATTTGGCAATAACAAGACCCATGATAACTTATGGAGCGGTTGTTTGGTGGCCAACAGTAAACCAAAAAACAGCTCTCAATACCTTCTCGGGAGTTCAGAGGCTGGCATGCCTTTGTATTAACAGAAGTATTGAGAAGTACACCGACAGCCTCTATGGAAATCATTCTAAACCTCCTACCCCTTGACCTAGTAATAAAGAGCGAGGCCAGAATGAGTGTATACAGACTGGAAATCTCCAACAACTGGAACCCACTGGGACATATAAAACATACCAGAATAACACATGAAGTAAATGATTCTATATTAAACATGTGATCAGATCACATGACACCCCTCCTAACCTTCAACAGATTCTTCCAGGTCAACTGGAACGAGGTAAATAAGGAGATAAATACTTGCTTAGCGGTCTCGTATGGTATACATTTTGATTAAGGTCGAACAATATAGGTCAGGCTAGGTTGAAAATTAGTGGGATGATCTCATCGCCTTCCACTGCGACCTAGATGGATCTACTGTGGCTCATGACTAACTTATAGTTCACCGTATAAGCCACACCTTTTGATGAAGGCCATGGTTGAATTGGGCGAGACTTGTTTAAAGCTGGTAGGCTCCAGTAGGGTAAATCCGAAGAACTGGAACCTGATGTGGATAATAAAATTTCAGCAACTTCGTAAAAAATAATTTATTGTGCAAAACGTTGCACAACTTTTAAATTTTACATATTTACACTACACCTAGAGACTTAACACTGCCTTAGGGTTAAATTATTTATTATTTATTATCATTTTAGTATCTCTGCTCAAAGAACTTAGGTCATCGAGTTTTGTGCTGAGACCCGTCTGACTTCTCTCGAAGTCCAAAACGATCTGGTCTTTTTACCATTCAAAGAAAAGATATTCATGTCTACGTGCCAGAAACTGGTTGGCCTTAAATGGTTTCGCGCTGATGCAACTCAGTGAACGTTTGTTTACAGAGGTCCATAACAAAACACCTGCGAAATGAGCACAGGACCGTCTCTGAATATACTATGTTTTAAATAGTATTTTAAAACAGAAGACGCTGGACTATTAGTCCCTAAAAAAGTTCAGAATGTATACCAATCTGCGATGTGATAAAGAAATTCTGTTGGTGGATTTAATATCAAGACCTGATATGTATACGGGCATAAAATTTTACAGCTATCTTGTAAAATCTATTTAATTCGTATTTTTTTGTATTACATACTTATTCGTCTACTTTTTCCTTTATATACAAGTAATAGTATATTACATAACAAATGTGGAAAGTGCAACATTTCGCACGAGTTACAGTTTAGCACGAGCCACGTAGCGGCGAGTGCGGAAACTAAACGAGTGCTAGAAATACACTTTCCAACGTTGTGTACACTATTTTTCCTACGACCACACACAAAATCCTCAAAAAAATGAGAAAGTCAATTAAACCATATCACACATGTACTGAAAAGTATATCACCCATGTGTTGAAAAGAATATCAACACATGTGTTGAAAAGTAAAAGAATCCTCCAAAATATTTTTCATTTTGCAACAGTAGAAATGACAAGAACTAATACAATGTTTAAAAAATATTTATAACTAAAGCAGAGATACTAACAGAATAGTTTATAAAAATTTACATCTAAAGTAGAGATAGCTAATGGAATGGATAAAAAATATTTGTAACTAAACTAGAGATAACTAATATAATAATTAGGAAATGTTTGTAACTAAACTGTATGAACTGAATAATTATTAATAATTTTGTTTTACTTTTTTTCTGGGAAGTTAAAAGTAAAATTGTTATTATAACATTTACTACATTGCAGTGGATTCTGTAATGTTGCATTATTATTATTCTCAGTGGTTCCCCTAATATATGTGTCTCTTGTGAATCTACATTAATTTGTTGCTGTATAAATGAAGTACACAAACTTGCACTGTATCTGAGTTGTGTAGTTTCAGCATTTTGTTCAGAGTATTGTTCAATGTTTTTACATGCAACTTCTTCGTTGAATGTGCTTGTGCTGCGAATGGTGTTCATTATTTTATTAGCAGTCATTACTCTATTAGTTGCAGAGTCATCTATGTACTGCTCGGCCACGGTAGAGGATTTCCATCCCCGTGGCGCTTTAATGCAGC